ATTACATTGAAACATTATATGAATTTTATAATAATATATAATATTGAAATAATATTTAAAGTTGTTATATTATATTTAAAGGTTTCATTAATATGTAAAGGTGCCCATAATATTTAAAGAATTTCATTAGAACATTAAAAATGAATTCTATATAATATATAATATTGAAATAATATTGAAAGGTTCCATTAATATATAATGGTGCCCATAATATTGAAATAATATTTAAAGTTGTCATATTATATTTAAAGATTTCATTAATATATAAAGGTGTCCATAATATTTGAAGAATAACATTTGAACATTAAAAATGAATTTTATATAATATCGAAATAACAAACACATTAACACATCTAACAATTAATTTGTTACATTATCAATTTGAAAATTACATTTAATTAATTTAGTTTAAAATAATATGTGTATTTGTGTAAAATAACTGATTAACTCATTTTTATTTTTTTTTTTTTATTTTCACTTAGAAGATCACTTTCATAATTATGGGCACAATGAAAAAGCAATCTATTATTATTATTATTTAAACACTAAAAATAAATTTTATATAATATTGAAATAACAAACACTATCTTTAACAAATTCATTTGTGACAATATCAATTAAAAAATTTGATTTAATTAAATAATATGTGTGTTTGTTTAAAATAACTGATTAACTCATTTTTATTTTTTTTTTTTATTTTCACTTAGAAGATCACTTTCATAATTATGGGCACAATGAAAAAGCAATCTATTATTATTATTATTTAAACACTAAAAATGAATTTTATATAATATTGAAATAACAAGCACTATTTTTAACAAATTCATTTGTGACAATATCAACTTGAAAATAATATTTAATTAATTTAGTTTAAAATAATGCGGTGGTATAAAATAATTAAAAAAAATGAACTGATTTTCTTTTTCATTTTGACTCACATCAGACCACTTTCATAATTATAGGCAGATATATATATATATATATATATATATATATATATATATATACATAGGATGAAAGACAATTACTAATTTTCTAATCTCATAGGAATATAATTCTGATCAATTCGTAAACCGTACGAATGCAATTAAATTCGAAGATAAGCGAATTTATATTTTGTCTTTTTTTCGTTTGCTTGTTTGTTTTTTTTTTCTTTTTTCTTTTCTTCTTTTTTTTTTTTTTAATCTCTTTCGTGCTTTTCATATTTTTTTTCTTTTTATTCTTTTTTCTTTCTAATCACACTGATACTTATATATATNTTCTTTCTAATCACACTGATACTTATATATATATATATATATATATATATATGTATATGTATGTATATGTATATATGTACACAGGTGTTTTTATTTATTTATTTATTTTTTTTTTAATTCTAAACAATAAATTTAACAAAAACACAAGTAAAAGGTTCATCCTTGTAGGAAAATTTCACTAAAAAAAAAAAAAAAAAAAAGTATTAATCTTCATTAATTCTAAACGTCAATTGTTTTAAATCAATGAAATGTTTGGAACGTTTAATATGAAAATAATAATAATAATAAAAAAAAAAAATTAAAAAAAAAAACATTTAGATCTACTTTTAACGATTAGATTAATAATAATAATAATCTACAAAAATATTTCTATTTTTTTTGTCTTCTCTTTTTTCTGTTTTTCTTGTGAATAACTTTAAAGAAAATAAAAGAGTTTTCTTTTTTTTTTTTAAATTTTTCAAAATAATCTTCAATAAAATCATTAACTTATGTTAAAATATAAACGATCGTATAATTATTAACTTTTGTAATGTTTGTGTGTGTGTGTTTTTTTTTTTTTATCACTTTGTGTAATAGTATTATTATAATAATAATAATAATAATCATAATCATTAATAATAAAATTAATATAATAATTAATAATAAAAATAATAATAATAATCATAATAATAATAATAATAATAATAATAATAATAATAATTACGTATGATTCTGAAGGTATATTACATACTCTTTTGAAATCACACGAGTTTTTGAATCATTCTAAATTACAAATAATTAACAATAATTAAATTACAGATTTAAACAAAATCTCCATTGTGATTAGAAACCACGATATTAGAATTTCCTTCCTTTTTTTTTTTTTTTTGGTTTTCTTTCTAAAATTCTTTTTCTCTTTCTTTTATTTTTCTTTTTATTTATATTTTTTTTTTTTTTTATTGCGCTGCCTAATCAAAAATGAATTGATGTGAAATTGTAATTGTAATTGTTTTTATTTTATTTTATTTTTATTTTTTTTTTTTTTCATTTTTTCATTTTTTTCATTTATCAAGCAAGAATCGTGCTTTTTATTTTATGTTTTTTTTTTTAATTCGAATTTCTTTTTATTTTCCTTTTTCTTTTCTTTTCTGCGTTGACTCTCGTGAGCTTCTATTTCTTTTTTTGGTTAAAGCTTTGAAAAATATTCTAAACGTCAAACACACACACACACACACACACACACACATACACACACCTGTGTTAGCTAATTAACAACAACTAATTAGCTAATCTTTCTTTCTCTTTCTCTTTTTCCCTCTTTCTCTTTTTCCCTCTTTCTCTCTTTCTTTCTCTCTCTCTTCCTCTTTTTTTTCTTTTTCTTTTTCTTTTTCATCTGATTTACGAAGGCAACTTATGTGTTAGTCGAAGACACATACGCGTTGGAATCTTTTTTTTTTTTATTATATCTTTCAATCTTGTTTTTTTTCTTTTTTTTTTTTTTGACAAATGGCAAATGTCTCGTGTCGTTGAAAAATGAGGGGGAGAAAAAAATAAGAAACAAATAAAAAATGAAAAGAAATTAAAATGATGAAGAAATATGCATTGAAATAATAATAAACAAATAAACATGAAAATATATCTTTTAATTAATTATTAATTAAAAAATATATATATATATATATATATCTTTAATTAATTATTAATAAAAATATAACTTTAAATAATTATTAATTAAAATATGTCTTTAATCGAAAGAGTAATCGAAAAGAGTATCGAACAAAATGATTCTTCCTAGGCCTGTTTTTTTTTTTTTTAATTTAATGGCAGATCGATAATAATTGATTCAGTATGTTTTATACTTTCATACGACCACAGCCATTTTTTTTTCTCAAATACCTTTTCCCTGTTGTTGTTTTTTTTTTTTTTATCACATCTTCTTCTTCTTCTTGTTCCTCTTCTTCTGCTTCTTCTTTTACCAACAATAATTTTCCTTCTTTTTTTTTTTTACATCTGTTAATTTGTTTGTTTCCTTCTCTTCTTTCTTCTTCTACCTTTTCTTCTTTTTATTAAAATCATCATTTATGTGCCATATTTGTTGAATCGACGAATATTTGTTTAACCCCATATGTTTTTTTCCTTTCCTGTAACATTATTTTTAAATATTTATTAAATTAATGAAATATAATTAAAATTGTGTTTTTTTTTTTTAATTATCAATTGTTTTAACATATAAAATACAATATATATATATAAAATAATTTATATATATATATTTCTCAAATATTTCATTAGTTAAGAATTAATAAAAAAAATTATTTATGTTTTAAAAAAATTATTAATACTACATATTATAATTAAATTAATAAATGAAATAATTAAAAATTGTAAATATAAATTATTATATTTTAATATATAATTTATAATATATTTAAAAATATATATTTATATTTTTAAAAATATATTATTTTATAATATATATTTTTATATATTTTTATATATTATTTTATATATTATTTTATATATATTATTTTACATATTATTTTATATATTATTATATATTTTATTTTAAAATATATTTTAAAATATATTTTATAATATATTATTTTATATATTATTATATATTTTATTTTATAATATATTTTAAATAATTTTAATATATATTTAATAATAATAATATTATAAACATAATTAATAATATTCTATTATATTTAATTGTATTAAATATAAAAATTATAATATATTATATACAGTTTTATATTTATATTTATATTATATATATATACAGAGTGATCGGGGTAACTGGTGGTACAAGTCGATGGTTAAGTCGATTTTCTCGTAAACAAAGTCTCAAACGACAAATTTTTG